CCCGAGGCGAGGAGTGGCTCTATCAAACATGCCCCAGATGCTGATTTACAGCATCCCCGATGCCTCCGTGCTCGCTGCAGCCAGCACCTGGCACGTCCAAGGCAGGCAGCTCGCCCGGAGCAGGGATGGGGAGGCAGAACCAGCACGTGCAGCCAGGGCTGGGCACAGAGCTCATCCCCCCGAGCAGGACCAGCTGTGAGAATCTGGGCTGGAGAACATCACCCGGAGCTGGCTCCGTTCCTCCGCCCGTTCTCAGCACACCCTGAGCTCCGTCATCCCTCAGAAGCCAGCTCAGCCCCGCTCCTCGTCACCTCTGGACCCTAAAGCAGGCAGGAGGAATACAACGGAGAGCTCCTGAGTCACTGAGGAGGCAGGACAAGCTGCCCGCAGATCTGAGATCGTTCTTGGCAGCAGAAGCTCCGGCCAGCCCGGAGGTGTGGGCTGACATGCCTGGTGGATTAGACGCGGCACTGACTCAAGCACGGCTATGAGCTGCTCGGAAGGGAAGGAACAGTTTTTACATCAGCTGAGCAGTGTTGAAATAGAAGGCCCTGCAAACACCAGCCACCCTCAGCCCCATTTGAACCAGTAACGCTGCTCCGACGTCCCAGTCTGGCCAAACAGAGCTGCTGGGACCTCCTCGCTGGGGAGGACTCATCCTTATGGAGCGCAGGATGGAGAAGGAGACCCAGGACACCTCGCATCTGCAGTCCCAACGGTGAGGGTGGGGTGGCAGGGGAGGAGAGCCAGGGCCCCTGCAGGGACAGCAGCACCTCGCCTGCTGAGGAGCTGGCTGTAAAAAAAAAAAAAAAAAAACAAAAAACAAAAAAAAAAAAAAAAAAACACCAAAAAACTCATTTCTGTGCCTAGCTCAGCGCACCCTGGAGAAGCCTGACAGCCTCCTCCTGCAGAGAGACATCCTCATTTCCTGCCCTAACGCCTCTGACCTGCACTTCCAGCACCTGGATCGTGTTATGAGTCTGCCAGATCAAAGAGCCCTCCACCAGCAGCCACCTTCTCCCCTGGTGGCTATTTATAGGGCTGACTAAACGAGCTTCGCCCCAAGACACCCCGTGGCTGCCTTGACGCGCGGTGAGATGTTGTTTTGCATTCTGGAAACTCTTCTCCACCTCCTGTGCAAGCAGCAGCTTTTTGCAAGGTGAATTCCAGGTGTGACCCTACAGAGGGCTCATCCCTCCCCCACAAAACGAAGCTGGCAGGAAATCTGCAGGGGCATTGCCCCAAGCTGCTGCAATTAACACCCGAGCGCGCTGCCAACACCAATGCCACCGCTGGTTTAGGGAGGAGGGTGGTGACAGTAGCGAGCAGGTAATATTTGTCAGAGGAGTAAACAGCAAAATAACAAAACCCAGCAGCAAAACGGCTGTAAGCTCTCTGCATTTTGGGCTATTTCTGCAAGGCACAAGCCAAAAAATGTGCACTTGATCCCTTCCCAGCCCAGCAGCAGCTTCTTCGGTGTCCCAAGCGTTTGCCACTGTCACACCACTGCACAAAAACCCTCAGAGTCAGTCAAGGAGTCGGGGGCTTTTCAGCAGAGAAGATTTTGGTGGTATCCTGACAGCTCATGGCTGCAAGAGCCTAAATGAGCTGAGCGCTGGCAATTTGGGGCTCTGAAACAAGCCCCTGGGGACCAAGGGCAGGCTGGTGGCACCATGCCCTCTGGTGGCTGCGGTGCTGGGGCAGGGCTGGGGCACAGCAGCACCGTGCAGGGAGGCAAGCTGCAAGTTTTGGAGGCCTCGAACATCTCCAGGCACCAGCGGTGCTGCACAAACCCCAGGGGAAGAAGCCGCTTCCTTTCGGGGGGGGGGCAGCAGCTCCATCGCTCCTCCAGGCCTGCCCCCAGGATGCATTTTCTCTGTGATGAGCCAGAGACAACGAAATTTCAGAGCACAAAGGGGTGTTCGAGCTCGTGGCCTGGCTTCCTGTGTCCCACACGCCGCAAAATTTCACCCCTGCCTCGAGCTGAGTCCTTTCCAGCTGCCCAACTCACCGGCACCAGGGTGACCCAGCCAGCCCACTGCACGGAGCACCTCCCAGCTCAGAAGTGACAACCCTTTGGGGTTTTCCCTACCCAACAGGTCCGGAGTCATCGGTTCCTGTTATTCTTTGCAGAGATGAATTTCAGCAAGCTTCACAGCTCCCCCTCTGGGGCTGTCAGTAGCAGAATAACCGCCCCGGTGGGAGCTCCGTGAGGTTAATCCGCTCCTGGCTGGGGTCACACGGCTGCTCAGGACCTGGAAAACCCAAACTCCTCCACCTTCTTTGAAATCATCTGTGTGTGACTCAGTGAGGACACGTGCACTCCTGTCCTCTCTCGGTTTGACACCGATGTGACCGGGTTTTGTTGGTGCTAAGAGGGGAAGCAAGAGGAAACGTTTCCATCTTTGGGACGCGCCGCGTGCAGGACAACAGTTTTTCTCACCCAGATGACCGAGTTCACACAACTCCAGAGGAAACTGGCACCACAAACCAGCCCTTTTTGGCTCTTTTTTCCCAGCGGCGAGGTCTTTTCCCACTCCCCATGGGCTCCAAGCTAAGGATGCCGCCTTCCACCTACCGGCACAGGCTGCCAGCGTGGTCCTGCCTGCTTCCAAATTCCTTCCCTTTCCCACCAGATCCCTGGCAACATCCCTGAGCGTGGCTCTGAAGCGTCCCTTTCTTCACCGAGTTCCCCCTTGGCTGGCTAGTCTCCTCTAGTGGCTGCGAGCAGCTACTTCAGAGCCATGCAAAAAAAAGAAAATAAACCAAATCACCAAGAAACTGGACCTTCACAGTAGGTATTGCTTCATATTCTTTTTTTTTTTTTAATCTCTCCCCTCTCCAGACAGAAGCTCTGCATCACAGAAGAATTATGCATCCATAAAAAGGGATTTTGTACCAATAATTTCAGGGCCTTCAGCAGACATTTAGACCAGCAGATCTCTGCCAGGCACTGGATATTCTGCCCGTGACCGAGTCCAGCGCGGGCTGCACTGCTCTGGGAAGAGCCTTCCAAGGCTTCAAGCCCGTGCCATCAATGAGAGCATTTTAACATCAGATGGGGCTTTTTGGCATCTCTGGAAGCACCCCCCAAGGCATGCCAGGACTTACAGATGGGAAAGTGAAATGCAGAGGAGCAAAGGGACTTGCCTGGGGTCACCGGGCAGGCTGGAAGGCTGCAGAGGCAGGACGAGAGCCCAGAATATCCCGAAGCAGCCCCAGAAACTGCAGCACCCAGCCTCCCTGCACCCCTCAGAACCCCCCCTGCCCAACCCATGCCCAAGCCAAAAGTTCTTGGAGTGCAATGAGCTGGAGACCGGGACAGTTTTATTCCTGAATTTTGCCTATAACATTTTGGAAAAGGGAATAAAGGATATTCAAGAGTGAAAAGCCCATCAGCATGGGGCTGCGAGGCGCTGTTATTTACACAACAGCTCCCACACGTGAATAAAGCAAGTAATGCAGCACGTAGTGGAAAAGAGACAGCAAAACACATCAGATTCTGGTGGGTACACACAAGCCAGGCCTAACGGCTCATCCAGAAAATTGATGTTTAGGTTGCAATTTCAGCAGCCTCACCTGCAGCAACCTGCCCATAGGGAGAGAGATCCCGAGGGGAGCACCGAGTGTGCCTCCCCAAAAATGCCCCCAGGCTGCTCAGGAAGGCAGCAGATGCCCTCCATGTGTATGGAGGGAGAAAAGCACCACGCAGAAAAGAGTCAGCAAAAGGGCAGGGAGATCCAGCAGTTAAATCTCCAGAGCGGGAGAGGGGTGCTGGGTCTTGTTCCACCTTCTTCAGGATTGTTTTTTGTGTGTGACATGAAGCAGTGCAAAGAATAAACACTTGGAGGCGAGAAAAGAAAATCAGGATTGTTTCTTTCCAGGCACACGATGTAAATAACAGTGAAAAGTGACACGACAAAGTGCTGGAGGCAAGAGATCGAGAAGAGACAGTCCCCACGCAAGAAAACAGGAGTTAAAGATCAGTTGCACTGTATTTATAACGCACCCTTCACCATCTCCATGAGATAACACCGCTGATAATTCCCTCAGCCCCCCACGGTACAGACAGGGAAGCCAGGGCCCCTACCTGAAGTATTTCAGGGTCCAGCTCCACGTCACCAACCACAATTTGCTTTTCATTTTTCCTTCTGCTTGGTTTGACAGCTGGCATATTATGTTACGGAGAGAAAACTCAGCCCCCAGCGCTCCGATACACTCAGCAAACAAGCACCTGGCCACCCTTGCACGTCCCCTGGATTTGCTGCAATAACCAGCACCCACAGACCTATTGAATTAACCCGATGCCGAGCTGAGCCCGAGGGGCTTCACTGTCCTTGGGGTACCACGTCTGGCATCAACCAGCCCCAAACCCCCGGTGCTCCCACACACAGCTCCAGTTTGAGTTTTTTTTTTCCAGCAGCATCACTGCACTCACGTTTTCAGCCTGGAGTTCACACCCCTTCCACCCAAACAACGCAGGTTGGGCACTTCTCAAGAGTTAAGCAGCAAATTTAAAAAAAATAAAAAATTATATAATAATAACTCAAAAAAAATTTTAAAAGAAATTAAAAGCTGTCACGTTTCCCTCTCTTTTGGCTTCGTGTGGCACGCCAGCTGACTCCAGAGCATCCAAACCTCCAGGAGCCCCTCAGGTGGAAGCCCCAAGGAGCTCAGCACCTCCAAATGCAGCATTTTAACCGTTATATCACCCAGATTTATCTATATTTTTATATATATGATGTTCTAACACCTGGATATGTCTATGTTTATCGATATCTGTTATAACACACTAAGGGGCACAGCACCTGCCCTACTACGGCCGCGCTGTTACGGGATCACTGCCGGTACCGAGCAGCCCCACCGCCACCACCCCAATTCCAGCAAGCCCCAAAACCCCAGGAATTCACACCAAAACCCCGGCCAGCTCCAAATCCCCCTCACAGCACACCCGACGCCCTCGCTGAGCCGCAGCCCGGGGGATCTCGGCTCTCCCTCACCTCACTCTCAGCCTCCGGGGCGATTTCACCAATTTCGCCGCGATTTCACCCATTTTCGCTGCGATTTCGCTCGTTTTCGCTGTGGATCCGTCGTTATGTCCCCGGTTTCGCCGCTTCAGGCCGGCAGCAGGCGGCGGGACAGCCCCCTCTGCACCTCACGGCCCCGGCAGCCGCCCCCTGCCCTTCCCCACCCCTCCCTTCCCTTCCCCTCCCTGCCCCCCCCCGGTACCTCCCCCCAGGACTACAACCCCCACAATGCCCCGCGCGCCCCCCGCGCCGCCGCCATGCTCCTTCGCGCATGCGCACAGCGCAACCTACCTGCAAGATGGCCGACACGGCGCCCGGCGGTTCCGGCACGGTAACGGCGGGGCCCCCGCTGCTCTGGGCCGGTATCCGGAGAGGGGAGGAGCCCCCAGGGGAACGGCAGCGGCTCGGCTGCTCGCGGAGCCGCCACGGTTGAGGCCTGCCCCTAGGGCTTCCGGCTTTATGTGGGGGGGTGAAGGGAGCGGGGCGCTGATTGGATGGAGGGAGGGAGGGGGCGGGGCTAGGCAGCGGGTGGTGATTGGCACGAGGTTGAGCGCTCTGATTGGGCGGGGAAGAGGGGGGCGGGGCGATGGTGGGTGAGGGCGGGATTTTTTTTAAAGGGGCGGCGCTCAAATATTGAGTGCATGGGTGTGCACGTGTGTATGGGTGTGCACACAGATAGATGTGAGTGTCTGTGTGTGTGTATGGCTATGCATGTTTGCATATGTACATGTGTAGTGTGCATATACGTGCAGATGTGTATGTGTAGGCTTGTCTGTGTGTGTGTGTATGTGCATGTGTAGGGTGTGTGTATATGTCTGTAGATGTATATGTACCTGTATGTGTATGTGTGTGTGCATATGTACATGTATAATGTGTGTATGTGTGTCTGCAGATGTGTACCTATATGTATGTGTATGTGTGTGTGCGGATGTGCATGTATAAGTATCTATATGTGTGTGCATATGTACATGTATAGGGTGTGCATATATTGATGTTGATGTGTGTGCATGTCTATATGTCTGTGTGCGTGTGTGTACGTGTGTAGTGTGTATATGTGTGTGCAGATGTGGATGTATATGTAGTATGTACATATGTGTGCATATGTACATGTATAGTGTGTGTATGTATGCACATATGTGGAGGTCTCTATATGCATGTCTGGATGTGTGTATGCACATGTGCATGTGTAGTGTGGATGCATATGTGTCAATGTGGATGTATATGTGTGTATATATGTGTACGTACCTGTATATGTGTCAGTGTGGATGATACGTATGTATATATTATATATATCTGTATATGTGTGGACGTGGATATCTATGTACATATGAGTGTATGCATATGGACACGTGTAATACCCATATATGCACATATGTATAGATGTGTATGCGTGTCTGTTGGATGCGTACGCATGTATACATGTATAGGGTGTACATACATGCACGTCCAGGTAGATGTTTATGTGCATATCTACATGTAGTGTGCATATATGCACATACTCGGAGGTGTTTATGTATGTTCATGTCTCTAGATGTGTGCATGCAGATCTCCATGTGCACTGTGTGCATATATGCACATATATGTATGTGTCCAGGCATACAGACGTGTGTAGTGTGCATACCTGTGCAGTGGGGGACCTCTGGGCCCGTGCTGAGCGCTGGCAGGGTGCAGGTGGCCCTGCCTGGGGGCGCAGGGCAGGCTCAGTGCCCTCTGCCCCGTGGGTGCTGGTTTCAGGGAGCAGCTCCGGGAGAGCTGGGGCTGGGCAAGCAGAACACTGGCGGGGCTGCGAAACGGGGTTTCGTTTCCCCAAGCTCTGGGCTCAAGGTGTGGGTCTGTGTCCGCAGAGATCAGGCAGCAAGCACGCAACCACGCCGGCGGATAACTATTACCTGGCTCGGAGGAGGACTCTGCAGGTGGTGGTCAGCTCCCTGCTCACCGAAGCCGGCTTTGAGAGCGCTGAAAAGGCGGCGGTGGAGACGCTGACGGAGATGTTGCAGAGCTGTGAGCATCCTGGGGGCGACTTGGGGCAAAATCCCGTTGGTCCCCTGAAGTTCCTTGTTCCTTGCTTTCCAGATTTGCCTTTGCTCTTGCTCTTTTTTGTTTTGTTGTGTTTTTTTTTTTTTTTTGGTTGTTTGTTTTCATTTCTCTTATGTTCATGATGTTACCAAAAGCAGAAGGCCAGACTGGTGGCTCGAGCACGGCCACGGAGTCACAGACTTCTTTGTGAGCAGTTTGTCTGAAGTGCCTATCATACTCAGAGGGCCTTAGGTATCCTAATTAGCTCTGCATATTGAGATGCTGCCAAAATAGAGAAGCAACAAAGTTCCAGACATTTGGTGAGTGGTAGGCTGTAGTAGTAGCGCTGCACTTGGCAGCTCTGCTCTTCTCTGGGTGACGTGCCCCGATGTCAGGTCACACCACGTTCTGAAATCGAGGTGCTTGGGTTTTGTATTTTTCATTCTTGTGCAGCAGATTTGCCTTTTGCACTTGTGGAAGACACCTGACTTTCTGATCATCAGTGTCTCCATCCTTTGGCCCTCCTTTACTTTTAAATATTCACGCTGCAAGATGCTAGATTCTGGGAGCTATTTTTTTTTTAAGCTAGATTTGCTAAAAATTCAGGCTTTGGGCTGACTTCGAGGGCTGGGTGACGCACGTGTGGGCTCTGCCTGAACTGAAGACGTAGTGTGTTTTCTTTTTCTTTCCCCCAGATATTTCTGAAATTGGAAGGAGCGCAAAGTCTTACTGTGAGCACACAGCCAGAACGCAGCCTACGCTCTCCGATATAGTGGTTACGTTAGTGGAAATGGGTGAGTAGTTGCAGTCTGAATGCATCCAGAGCACACAATTTTCTTTCTCGTGTACTTTGAATTGTGGAGAAGCCTAGGAGAAGGGATTTTTGTCAGCGTAAACCCTTGGTGTGATTTCTGTTTCCTCTTCTTTTGTATTTCAGGGTTCAATGTTGAAACGCTGCCTGCATATGCAAAGCGCTCCCAGAGGATGGTCATCACTGCCCGTACGTGAGAAATCCTTTCTTTTCTTCTGCGGGGAATCATTTGGCATTTCTGGCTGCTGGCATCCAGAGAGCTTCTGCTTTTCTGATGGACGAAGCAGCCCAGTGCTCCTGGGCGTGCAGCTTGTGTTACGGATCCTGTAACAACCATGTAATAGGCGAAGGACGGGTGTCCTCTGCCAGATCAGTTGCCTTTGCTTCAGCATCCTCACTTCACGTGAGGTTTTGTTCTCCTTGTGTAGGAGAGAGGGGTCGAGGAATTCTTTTGGGATGCTAAACACAACCTGAAACTATTGCTCATGGGATATGTAGGACCTGGAGACCTGGGTTGCTGCATGGTACAGGCTAGCACTTCTGCATGCCTACCACATGGCAGAATGCTGCTGGCTGATTCGTGTGTGTGTTTCTTTGTTTTTTTTTTAACTTTTTTTTTTTTGTAACTGTAGCTCCTGTGACAAACCAGCCCGTGACTCCCAAAGCCCTGACGGCTGGGCAGAACAAGCCGCATCCATCCCACATCCCCAGCCACTTCCCTGAGTTTCCGGATCCTCACACCTACATCAAGACACCCGTGAGTGACAAGAGCCTTCTGTGCCATTTAGGGTCTGTCTGAAGTCAGTGACACCAGGAAAGCAGTATGCGTATTTTTATTGCAGTGTTAGTCCAGAATGTTGGTTCTTCTGGCTCGATACCTCGCTTGTTGTTTGTGCGTTGTCCCTGCTGCAGATTTCTGGCTGGCTGACATCTGTAACTCTCTGAAAATCTGTACACGTTGGAAGTCAACACTTACCTGTAGCACCTGCATCCTAGTGGTGTCTTGAATGTCAGCTGTCTGCCCTGCATCCAGTAACTGTGTGTGTTTTTTTTCCTCCCTGCTCCACAGACGTACCGAGAGCCGGTATCTGATTACCAAGTCCTACGGGAAAAGGCAGCGTCTCAAAGGCGTGACGTGGAAAGAGCTCTCACCCGCTTCATGGCCAAGACGGGAGAAACACAGAGTCTCTTCAAAGATGATGTTAGCACCTTCCCATGTGAGTTGTCTCGGAAATGTGCTGTAAATGACAGCTGTCTAACAGAGCGTACGTGCCAGTAGAGTTCTTGTTACTGCAGGGAGTGAGCGCTGAAGGATTATGTTGTGGTTAGCCTTCTGAGACACTGGAAGGGAGGGAAATGACAAATGTTCTATTTTAAACAGGGATAAAAACCTTGGGTTCATGCTAAAACCACATGGTAGGCTTCCACTCTAAACAAAAACTCCCTTTCTTCTGATGGTGGAGAAGACCTTGGCTGACAGCTCCTCTCACATGCTTGTTCCAGTCCTGTCCGACCCTCCGGAACTTGCACAAGCCATTTCTTCTCTTACACATTTCTGTGCAAGGCAGTGGAGGTTGTCATGTTTCTCTGCCTGTAAAGCAGTGATAAGAATTCCCTCCTTCCCAAGCCTGGGAGCACAGATGCCGGTGTTACCTTTAGGGGGACTGAGTGATGCCTGGGAGATGTTTGAACTTTTATAGTGTGCGATTCTTCTGTTCAAAACCAGAACCAATGAAAGAGTTTATTGACACTGCAGTTTACTTTGTGATCTCTGAGCTGAGGAGCCTGCTCCCACCCTGCTGACTGTGTTCTTTTCCCCAGTGATTGCTGCCAGGCCTTTCACTGTACCCTACCTGACAGCTCTTCTCCCCTCGGAGCTGGAAATGCAGCAAATGGAAGAAACAGATTCATCTGAACAAGACGACCAGACAGACACAGAGAACCTTCCCCTGCATATGAGCACGGTACGCCCACCTTCAGAGATCGAGGTCTCTCGGGCCCGACTCTCGTAAACATATGAAACCTCATTCTTTGTCTGTCTTCCTTGCAGCTGGGCAGAGTGGGTGGAAAATGGTGAAGTGGGTTGTGTTTTACCGGATGTAAATGACTGACATTGTCATGGTTCTCTGACTCTTTGCAGGGTGCAATGTATAATGAGGTTGTCTAATGTTGGGTAATGAGCTTTCAGTGCAACTTCATTTCTGTGGGAGAGCAGAGAGATTGGCCCAGGATCCCATGCTGTTCTCAAAGGGGATCTGTTTGTATTAAAAATCAGGAGTCCTCCCTCACCTTTAATGCAGCTCTTTGAGTGCTGCTGTTTATCTTGACTATCTTTTATGTCTTGCCCATAGGTTGTGTGGTTTGAACTTCTTAGCCTTGTTTAGCCCAACTTTGGTTGTTTATGCCTTTTTTTTTTTTCTTTTTTTTTTTAATATGCCAGGATGATTCAGGACCTGAAAAAGAGAACGCTTCAGTGTTACAGCAGAACACCTCCCTGTCTGGCAGCCGGAATGGGGAAGAGAACGTGATAGACAACCCTTACCTCCGGCCAGTAAAAAAGCCCAAGATCCGCAGAAAGAAGTGAAACGTAGTCAGCTGGCTGCTAAAAGAAAGAGGAGCCCAGTTCTCTGACTGTTCTGGGGGTCACCTCTGCTGCTGCGGGTGAGAGGCACCGTGGAGCAAGACAGGACATACAATCCCACGGAGTGACAGAAGCGGAGGAATGATCACTGCCTAGTGAACTACACTCTCATCTTGGTTTGCAGTGCTCCCTCTTTCCCCTCCGCTCTCCTGCTGGCTTGGAATGGTCAATGGTCAATTGCCTTAAAAGCAGTGAAGGCCACCAGGTTTCAGATGGGAATTGTCTCGTTTACTTTGCTTTCTTCTCACTGTCAGAGAGATTTGCTCTCCGAAGAGGCGAGGTTCTTGCAGCACAGTGCTTCCCAGCAGGCTCTACAGAACACAAAGGCATAATTCATTTCTGGCTGTCTCGCAGGCTAGAAGAGAAACTTCTGTAATCAACCCTGTCTGGCCTTATAATCTAAGGAGCATGAATTAAGAGGCAGAAGAATCCCAGAGAGGTTTCTTTCTTTGGGTTGTTGGCAGGTAGAAGCAAACAGACTTTTCTTTTATAAACTAAAGGCATCTGATGGTAAGAGAGTGAAGTGTAAATACAGAGCTAAGATGGCATTTTATTCTCACTTTTCTGACTGCAGCTGCACTTCGAACTTGAAAGCTCTAAGTGTGGTGTTTACCCTGCTCTGCTTTGAGATTATTTTCTAGCAGTATGAATAGCAAGATTTAACAGCTGCTTCAGGCTATTTTTCAGTTCTATTGTTAGTTTCAACACAGCACAAGTCCTTTGAGAGTTCACGCCTCCACCAGCTGTTTTGAAAGATGCTTGCTGAAAAACTTGGAATATTGAATAAATCTGTATTGATTACAGTCTGCAGGGCCATGCTATTGATCACACTTTTTAATTGTGTCACTTCTCAGATATGAGCTTTTATCAACAGAAGTTGCTCTTTTTTTTTTTTTTTTCTTTTTTTTTTTTTCCCCCAGAGAAGAGCCTTTATTGCAGAAGTGAAAATAACTGCTGGTGGGAGTGTTGTAATTGTTATCCAGTTCTGGAGGACTTTCTTTTAATTTTCATTCAGCCTTTGCTTAGGGAAAATATGGGTTGAATTCCTTTGACAAAAGACTTCTGTTGTTTCATCCAGTCTCCCAAGCATGACGAAATGATTCTGTAGTCCATACTAGCCATCAGCTTTTTTTCCTTCATGCAAGTCCGTTCTGAAGGGAAGATTGCTTTAGGCCGTAGACAAGATTGCACTTCTGGATGAAAATGTGGTGCTGAGAGAGGCAGTAAAGACTGGCTGCTACACATTACCAGACAGTTTATTGCTTCCTGGAGTAGTATCTGAGTGCAGGAAGTCTGTTGCAGTCACTGGGAAGATCAGAGTTGTGTTGTATGCACATGTTCACCTCTGTTCAGTGAAGACATCCCTCTTCCCCCATCACCCAGGGAGGAGGAAGACGAGGAGGAATTATTTGAGTGAGAATAGGAGTGTTCCTGCCAAACAATCTGAAGTAGTATCTCTAGCAAAAAAGTCCTGCATGTGCCACTGCCACTTTTGCCGGTGCCTTGGTTGTACAGAATAAAAAAAATGTACAAAGACATTGTATATATATATATGTATATATAAAAATTTATATCTTTTTTTTACTTGGATTAGGTGTTTTTCATAATGACAAAATCCCTCGCTGGGTAGGGGAAAATGCAGAGTGAAAACAGGAATTTTTATGATCGTAATAAAAGAAAATTTATCTTCTGCAATTAAAACTGACCGAGTCCTTAAAGTTTCAGAAAGAGTGGAAAAACACCTGAATGGAGCCTGAGTGTATGTTCACTGGGGTCTGCTGATATTCTCACTAAGTGGTAGGTCTTGTTCTTTCCTCTGTATCTCCTTTCTCTACAATAACACTTGATTAATGAGAAGTTTCAGAATTTTCCAACAAAAACCCTGGTTCATAACAAATATGTTCAGTGAGGACAAGGTACCTTTTAAAATACCATCAGTTTTGCAAAAGTTTTATAAGAAGGTTTCCCCAGCTGCAGGTGGAACATGGTTGAAAAAGACCACAGAATCATAGGTACTTTTTAGTTGCTTTTACATCTGTCTCTTACACATGTATTTTCTTCCCAATTATAAAATAAAGTTAGATAGAGGTGAAGTGTGCAGTATCAGCCATGAATACAATGGTGGAGCTGGAAATGGAGACAACATCCAGGTCTTAGGGCAGTACAATTTCCAGTGAGTCGCAACCCCTCCTTCGAAAGATTGCACCAAAAGGGGCAATTGAGAATCAACAACAACATCCCATTTTGACAGCTGCAACTACAAAGCATCCTCTTGTGGTTGTGAGGGAAGGGGCCAATGTGCATTGAGAAGAAAGGCCCCGAGCAGCTGTTGCACTGTGTATGCAAGAGCACTTGAAGACCGAAAGTGGGAAATTGGAAGAAAATGTTTTGTTTTTACAGTCAAAATTGGACTACAGGTGAAATTGCTGCAGGCACAGCTAAACAGACCTGGAAAATTTGAAAGCCTGCGTTGTGATTGGTATTTGATAAAAATACAAATACTGTGAGTTCTCAGTTTTCCCTTGAGATCGAACCGAGTCTGATCAGCGCGTGTGTGCAGGCAGGTTGCAAGTATTTATAGAAATCCCTTCAGCCAGAGTTGTGCATTACCAAGACACCTGAGGGTAAACACCAGGACCTTCCTGTTTCAGTCTAAATTTATTTGTATTTGTGGCCAGATTCTTGACTAGCAGCTTGTTGGTTGCTCGAGAACAGCTCCTGTCCGTAGGGATGCTGCTGGTTATGCACAAGTACCTCTCACAGGCCACCTGGGCTGGCTGTTCTCAGCACAGCACTCTGTACCCAGGATGTTTACTGTCTGCTAGTTTAATACAGTTGCTGTATTAAACGTGGCTGTACCACGTATGACCCTGCGTTTCTCAGCTCTGTTCAGGCTGTGGAGCTTTGTTCTACCAGAGGGAGATCTACGGATGGGCAACCCCTCTGCGCAGCCTGGAGAGGAGGAGATGGTGGCAAGGAGGCTGGGGAAGGCACAAGGCAGCTGAGAGAAGTTAATTTTGTGCCTTTCTGGTGCCAGCAAGGGCTGGGTTTGGGGGGTAAAAGCCCCTTGTGGCAGGGGAGGCCATGTTAGGTGTCTCCACTGCGACCTGCAGAAGATGGCGGCTGCCCCGCCTGGGCCAAAGGCTGAGGGAAGCGGGGCCAAAGGATGCTGAGCACCAGCACCAGCGGTACCAAACACCCTCAGGGGCAGGAGAGACCAGGCACCACACCAAGTAAGCACAGTTAACAACAAGAAATGCCTCTTTTCGAGCAGGTTTTATTGGGGAGGCAGGAGAGTGCAGGTGAAGATCTCCACCAGCAGGTTGGGAGCTGAGCGGGCTGAGGGCCCTGCTGGATGTACCGTGGCTGCTCCTCAGCTCAGCTCTCATACAAACTCAGGTAGGCCACACGGTTCCGATGCTTGATGAATTCTCTGTCCACCATCAGCTGAAAGAAAACTAGTAGCTGTTAGATATTAGCAATGACAATTGCTGCAGAAAAGGAAGACGTGAGGTGGTGCTGAGAACTGCAAGCTGGTTTTCCAGGCAGTTTTCCTGTCCCTTAGCCAATGTTTTCACACTGGAAATGTTTGCTTTTTAGCAGGGCTGTGCAGAGACGTCTGTCCTCTGATTCTCTCACTTTGTGGTTGGAAACTAAACTTCTAAAGCAAACTACTTAGTATAGCTTTTTTTTTTTTTTTTTTTTTTTTTTGTAAACTGGCATTTTCTGACAGAAAAACACTTTCTATCTCATTCCCCTGGCTACTCCAGCTACATATCCAGCAGGCCAGACAGGAAAGGATGACAAGAGATAGTGCAAATGTGTTTAAGTAATCATCTGATTTCTTTTGTTGGAAGCACTGAGCTGGGAATAACATCCCCTCATCTGTCCGTACCTTCTGTACCTCTGTTTTTAGCATCCTCTTTGCTGGCATTGGCACTAAAGACCAGTCTGGAGACCCAAACTTCATCGGCCAAGTGATCTTCTTGTGTAACTGCTTGTCTGTGTCATAAGTTCCAGGTCTAAAGAAAATAGGGACATAATATCTCATTTCTGGACCTGTATGATGTTTGTAATATGGAAAATTACCAGCCCTGCTTTGACCCAAGGGAGAAATGCCTCTTGTGGCCTTGTAGTCTTCATGCTAGTTTAAAGACTAAAGCAAAGGAGATTTTGAAGATAAAAAAGCATTATTGGGAATTCAGTTACCCATCTCCCATTTGTGTCTTAGCATTTTTCTACTCTAGTCTTCCTGATTATTATTGAAAGTGTAAGAAAATGAGTTATATTACCCAGGGAAAAATTCTTTATCTGAAGGCTTATCTGGAAATCGTGATGTCTTAGTGGAAAATGGAGCATAGGCAGGCTGGCATTTTTGGTCTTTATTCCAGAATGACTGGTACGTTCCTGGGCCGGGAGTCACAGTCTGCAAGAGAAAGAAATTTCAATACAGAAGATTTTGTTCTGCAAGCTATTCCTAAATGCTCTGAGCAGCATTTAAAGCCAGCCAGATAGCATAAAGAAATCAGAGCAGTTCAAATCTGCATTCTCTAACATTTACAGAAGCCAGGCCAGGAAACCTATTGGGTTTGTTCAGGTAGTACAGCTGAGTTCCAGCCCTGATTTTGCCTCAATATGTACATCTATGTGTGTGTGACAAGGGAATGTGTACATACAAATCCATAGGTCAGCGTTGCCAGAGCTCCAGCAACTGGTGATCAGCCTCCAGGCTCAACACTTACCACTAGGCTATCTGTAGGGAGATCTATGACTACCATTATTTTAAGCTGGAGGCAACCCCAGCACACATGATCACAACTGTTAGCCTGTGGTAGGATCAGCCTAAAACATCTTGTAAAGCTGCAGCTCTGCCTCTTTGAAATGTGCTTTTCTTACCTGTGGCTCTGATATGAATCGCTGGGCTGTTCTTGCTCCTATCACGTAGCCTTTCGTGCTCAGTGTTTTTTTTCCCCACGAGTATCTGAGGCTGCTTTTCTGTGGTTCAAAAGCAGAAACATCTTACTAACATTTTTAAGACACCATTTGCAGCAGGGGAATGGGAGAAGTATCTGAGCAGCAGATGTCATTCTTCTAATTTCTCACTAATGTAGAGTGCTAGGACAGCTGGGGTTTTGAGGACTGGTACAGTTGGAAGGTGACTTTTCCAGAAGGGGGATTTATTTTTCAAGGTATATGTGCAAACCTTATACAATGGCTTTGCAGGGCAGGCATGGGGTACTCTGTGTCAGGCTGGCTATAGTGCTAGTTTTCTTATAATGTGTGTCTTCTGTGAAGGAAAAGCTTGCAGAATAAAAGTCAAACAACTTACCTCTTGACTCTCGTAACAGCCTGGCCCAAGGAGGGGGTTTCCCTTGATGGCTCCTAGCTGGATCCCCAACCTGTCAGGGGCATGGTGGAGAGGGAATGTTTTCCGCTCTTGACAGGACCCAAACGAGATTATCTTCTGTGCACCTGTGAGACCAGGAGAGGGAAATGCCAGCGGTGTGATTCAGCCACCTGCAGATGACCACTTGCTGCTTTTCTTCCTTCTCAAGTATCCGCAGCTCTCTGAGGCCAGCTGTCCCCTTATTTCTCCCCTTATTATCTCCCCAGCCCCTGGATATCTCCGAGGGCCTGCCCTTTGGATGCTCCCTGCTGCCACAAAGACTTCTTTTTCCCCTGCCTGAGCAAAGAGGTGCCTAGCAGCAGGTTGTGGAGAAGATTGCTGGGGAAGCCTGGTGCCGCTGGACAAAACCCTCGTGCCGTAGACCCCCTGCTGCCTCAGGGCTCACCTTTGGGCTCCCTCTGTTTATCCATGCCGCTGGTCAGACCTGACAGATGTCTGTGTACTGCAGTTGCTATAGACACGGGGAGGCCTGCTGGAGGGAATGCAGGCAATGGCAGTGCCTGGAGGAAGCATGAAAAAGAGGAGGTTTGATAAAAGCCTGGTGGGTTGCACGGTGCTCCCTCCTGCTCCCAGGAGCTGCCGTTTGCACAAAGTCAGTGGGGGAAGCGGTGTGTCTATGGGCTGTGCAGTCAGGACCCTCCTCTCTGTGTTCTTTCATGGAACAGCCTGATCTGCCCTGTTGTCTGCTCCCTGTCTTTTTCCCTGTGCTTGCCTGTCATGGTAAAACAGCAAGAAACTCCTGGAAAAAGTCATACTGGAGCTAAATCCACCTTGTGTAATCAGGCCTTCAGGGAGCACAAGTGTAAATACTGAAAGAATCACGGAGCATCAAAATATTAAGAGCGAGACAAGTTCAAGCAGTGCAGATTGCTCCTTTTGCAAAACACTTTATTTAATCATTGTTATTCCACAGAACTGGATGAGAGGGGTCTGTTTGCTGTGATCGACCTGGAGTCTTCATGCCCAGTTGCAGCAGGAGCAGCTGGGATCAAAGACCAGCCCGGCCTGGCAGCTCTGCTCGTAGGTTTCACCGTTGTTGCAGGTGTAGAACTTGCTCTTGTTGGTCGGATCTGCATAGATGCCGTTGGCCTTGCCAGCACAGAATCCACTCCCACCAGTGCCACCAGTATTGCCACCCGAGCTCCCGCTGCCACTTCCACTTCCACTCCCACTCCCACTTCCACTTCCACTTCCACTTGTAGTACCAGGAGCTGCAGTCACCAGAGGATTGGGTTGAGCTGGGGGCACACAGCCTGAAATAAAAGCAGAACAGGGCTTATTTTTACATTTTAGGTCTCCCAACACTGCCTTTCTGCCACAGTCCCTTTTGGGGTGGCATCAGCAGAACAGCCTTTAACCTTTGTGCCCCCAAATCTGGCTGGGTTCACACCAGGCCTTTGAAAAATGTCAACTCAGGTGCCAGTTACAATCTCACTCTTATCCTAGTGGATGCAGGGTGAAGGGATGTTCCCAGGGCAATCTCTAGAAAATTGTTATCCCCGAAGTCCCTAGAAATAAAGGTTCTCAGGCCTCCGAGGACCTGCATCAGCCATGAGCTACGGGGTCCCCTTCCAGAAGGCCACGCTTCTCCAGTTACTCACTGCTGCTTTGCAGGCCAAGAGCATTCTTCAGGGTGGTGATCAGGGGATATTTGCCCTGCTTGCAGAATGTGCCAGTGAAGTCATCCAGATCAATGGCCCAAACCATAGCACCTGCATAGTTGTTCTTCTTCAGCCAGTCAGCCTGTGTAGTGCCAGGGGAGAAATCCCAGTTAGTCCAAGAGCTGCTGTTGCAGAAGGGCTCCTGGAGTGTGATTAGTACAGCCACATCCCCACCGTACCTTGATGTTGAAGCTCTTGATGTTGTCGTAGCCAACCCATTCATTGCCCTTGTAGGCATAGGGCACATCCTGGGGGGCATCCCAAACTTGGGTGGCTCCAGAATTTAGCAGAGTGCAGATCTGGGCAGAAGGGCCAAGAGAAGGAAATTTACTGAGTGCCATGCAAAAATGGGCAATGCCATTTCTTTGACTTTAGTCTTTAGAATTGTGCAGATAATTTGGTCCTTGTGAATAATTACATCTTTCCTAGATTTTGTTAAATGAGCTTAAGAATTTCCATGTCTAACTTGGGCACATTAGACATATTCCTTTGAAAAGCTCAAGTGTAGCATTCCCCGCTGCATTCCTTCTTGCCTTGTGGGCACTACCAATAATAGAAGTCATTTCACTTACTGACGTTTCCAAGTACTGGAAGAACCAAATGTATATTTTGGAAGAGGCTGTTCACCTCTTTCAAACCTTCCCTGCTAAACTGTGTGGTGACGTACGTTGTAATAGCAAGGTATTTATTTTGAGGCACCGATTCTATCTACTGGGCAAATCGACTTCTCTTCTGAATCTCTATGGACAACTTTCTGTGTGCAGTAGACATTTAGAAAGTTACACGGGTTTCTTCTGTGAAATTGTTTGAAATAATATCACTAATGCGGTATTACACACACCTCATAGTAAGCCAGTGTCCCAGCCTCCTGTGTGTAAGGTCCAGCAGGCCCAGGTCCCGATGCTGGTGCACCAAGACCATTGTTGGATGGGTTCTGCAGCCTGAAGGTGTTTCCATAGGTGGGGAATCCAACAACTAACTTCTCAGCTGGGGCACCATTGCTCTTCCAGTAGTTCATAGCGTAATCCTACCGAAAAGCATCACAGTTGAAGCCTGTGCCAGGATTTGTAAGCAGGACGGTGAATTCTGAAAATGATCATCACTGGTCTGATCACAGGCACGACATTTCTGACACAGGCTCCTCAACTATACTTACAACATTGAAATAGATATTGCCATCAGTGTCACCTGGGCCTTTGTAGAGAGGGCTGTTCTCCCCAGTTTGTGCATCCCAGGAGCCGTGGAAATCATAAGTCATCACGTTGAAGTAGTCCAGGTACCTGTGGAGAACATTGCATGTGTCTGTGTCCTGGCCAGCTCACTCACACAGACCAGGAGTTTCCTTTAGTCCTGGCAACTAATCCCCTCTGGCTGTGCCCCCACTTTCTGCAGACCACGTTTCTCCAGGATCCCTTTGGAGAAGCCTACTAAGGGTGGGGACGAGTCTCTCATCCTGAGGAGTTCTCGCCCTGCATAAAGCATGGAGGCTCTGCAGGCAGTGGGGTTGGTTTCTGCCAGCTAATGTCAGAGCATCCCATAACTGCTGGAAGGGAGAGCACTGGAAGGAATGGCCTGAAGGAGGTCACAGAAGGTGTACCTGGGGGCTTGCTACTCACTTGCCGAGCTCAGCGATCTCGTAGCCAGACTGGATGTTGGAAAGTCCTGCAGCAACAGCAGCCGTGATCATCAGACGGGGCTTGTTAACCTGCCTGGCTTCCTGCTCAAAGGCGGCCAGCATTTCCTGGGGGATGCCAAGGAACAGGGCTCAGCGTGGGCTCTTGGAGCCCCCCAGGGCTCCTCTGGACCGAGCTGTGCAGAGCAGAGGCCTTGAGCTGCCCCTTTGTGTCCCCCTACCTTCACCAGGACAGTGAAGAGCCCCTTGTCCTGAGCCGGGCTGCCCCTGGAGCCAGGGTACTCCCAGTCAATGTCCAGCCCATCAAATTGGTACTGGCGCAGGAATTTGATGACGGAATTGATGAAGGTCTGGCGGTTCTCTGGAGTGGAAACCATTGTGGAGAACCTAGGGAGCAGAGGAGGGCAGAGTTGCGGCTTGGTCAGGGCCTCTTTCTTCCTCTCCCTCTTTTTTTTGGGTAGAAGATGGCAAGAACTTACTTGTCTGTTCCAAAATTCCATCCTCCAATAGAAAGAAGAGTCTTCAGGTTTTTATTCCTGCAAAGGTAAGGACACAAACACGTTTTGCTACAAACAATACTGCTGAATTGCTATTTCTGACTTTACAGAAAAGACCAACATCGAGCACAGTGATCTTGCTTTCCTGGAAACTGTGATGCAGCTGCCTGCATAGGCTGTGATGCCATGGTGTGAAACCCAACAGGCACATCCAGAGCACACTGACCGACAGTCACCGACCACAGAGGACCCATGCTGGCAGCCTGAGCAGCCCTCCCTGCCCGTCCCTCTCTGCCTCTTCTCCTCAGCACCTCTCACCCCACGGGCTGCACTGCCATCACAGAGGGAACGTCACGTACTGGTTTTTCAGCCCGTTGAAGGATCTGTAGAGGGTCTCATCGTTCCATTCAATGGTCGTGATCTTGTTGTTGGACATCCCAGCGAAGGCGTAGAGCAGGTGAGTGCACAGGCATGGGTCGATGTTGTCTGGCATGAAACTTCCCAGGCCGGGCCTGTACTGGGCCCAGTTGGTGAAGTAGCATGACAGCACATAGGCAGTGCCTGCAGACACAGAGGAGATGGGGCAGGGATTGAGGAGAGCAGAGGGAATGTGTGTGGGCAATGCAGGTGGCCTCCTGTGCCTGCTGGCCAGGTAGCTAGCTGCACGAGGCCGCATTATTCCCTGTAACCATCCCTCAGTGCACAGTATAAAGACAACAGTGCCCTGGGCTGCTCTTAGGTGCAAATTACGACCTAAGAACCACTGCGTGGTGGCCAGCTTCTGCCTCCTTCTTTCCTCTTTTAGAAGAGTTGGCTGGTAAGCCTGCTTCATGCACCCATACATGCACATGGTGTAAAGGGTTTGGTAGGGTTGTTTTGGGATAGGGAGCACATACCTATCTGGGCGTTCAGCAGGAGGGCCAGACCTTGGAAGAAAGAAGTGTGGGATTAGTCTTTGAGAAGCAAGGTAATGCCAAGCTCTTGATCAGGTCTGTGCTGAACTTCACGTAATTTGTACCCCAGATTGTAATCATTGTGTTTCTTTAGACACATTTATCTGAGTGTTCATATGGAAGTGGATGCAATTTGAGGACTGTTTCAGGTAGAAGCATCGAAAACAACCTGAAGAAGTCAAAGTGCAGAATTTTGATCACTTGTACTTTTTTGTTTTGTTTTGTTTAAAAATTGATTTTCAGTTTCCAACAACAATGAAATATATTCATTTCTAATGCATAAATTATCCTCCCCAACACTACTGAAAAATATAACAATCCTTTCTGAAAGTTGCTGCTATGTCTTTTTCTTTGAAAGGAGAGTAAAGAGACTGGAATTCCAAAGAACTTCTTCTCAAACTCCCCATGTAACAGCGAGAGCCACAAATACTTGTCACGAAGGTAAAGAAGTAAGCTGGGAAGCAGGACTTACCGGTAAGCAGAGTGAGCTTGGCCATCTTGGACCAGAACTGATCTCAGACAGGCTGCTTCCCTCTTTTATACCCTTCTTTTTTTTTTTTTTCATGCTAGTCTTCTGTCAACAAAGATGCCCAACCATTACCCGAGTTGATAAAAATATCACAAAAATGATACCAACATGATAAACCTTAAGGGTCCATCAGGAGGCACAAGGATTATCAGGGAGGATTATCAGGCTGTGCCATTTTGTGGTGCTGCCAGAGTAGTTGAAGAACAAGATTAGATGGCTTTTCTTCTTCGAAATCGTGTTTGCAGCAAGAGGCTTTGAGTCAATATTGGCGACTAGGCAGGAATAGATGTCTGAAGTGTTCAACCTTGCGTTGTCATTGGCGGCAGGCGGTGCCAAACCAAAGGGTTTGCAAGGGTTTTGTCTCCTTGGCTGGGGCACTCAGCGAGGCAGGAGGAGCAGAGCTTGAGCTCACAGCCGTGGGCTTTTTGGGGAACACAGGGACAGGGCTCACTTGGCGGAGCAAGGTGTTGGTTGGGATGCCGGGGGCTTTGTGGTCTGTGTTCTCTTGCCCATGCCACTTAAGCTTGCTGTCAGTGCAGGGAAGTGGGGTGGGCTTCGTGGTGTCCCAGCAGTAAGGCAAACCAAGTCAGCCTCTGCTGAGCACTTCTCCCACTTGCTGCTGGACCTGTTGGTGTGGGCAGGGGAGCAAGGGCAGGTGAGAAGCCTTGCCTTGGCTTTCTGTGGAGATCCTTAAGGTGAAATTGCCAGAATCTCTTACATTCTGCATGAGCTTGTCAGCAGTCATTGGCTGTTTTCTCTGCCCCGAGACATTACATAATTCCCGTTAAGATGATGTGAAGGTGAATTTCCAGGCAGTCATCCAGACTTGGTTGAACACGAGTCTCGAAAACACCCACAGGCTTGTCCTTATCACATGTTGGTGCTGAAGCCACTGAGCTGCCCTTTTATTCATTCGACTTCAGATTTTATGTGTGCAGGCATGAGATGAGAGGTGGTGGATTATTCAAAGGGTTTGTTAGGGTCAGGGGCAGTGCTTACAGTGTCTTGTGCCCCTCTCAGCAAACTCTCTAACGCCTGTTGTATCCCAGGAAGATCTTAACCATCCTGGCCTTTTGCACATGAGGCACTGCTTTAGAGATCTGGATTTGTTCTACCTGCCCTTGCCAGGGAGATTAGGCAGGTCAGTGGGGAAGGCTTAAGTGGGGAGGGAAAAGTAAAGGTCAGTGGAATGGCACCATGGATTTAGAGAAATATGCCCTGTCCTAACCCTTCTGTGGATCCACATGCACTGGCCACAGAGACAACCTGTTGCCAGTGTGGTCCTCCTTAGTGTGTGGTGGTTTTCTTAGAAACTCCTTGGGAACTTTCTGATGGGAATTTACTCTGAATATGTCTATGTATCCATCAGCCAAATCTGTACAGCTTATGTCTATGCCGCCAGAGCTCATGCAATCAGTCATTGGAGTCCAGGCATAGCACAGGAATTCAGCAGCCACTAGGTTATGTGTAAGGAGATCTGTGACTGCCCTTCCACAATAAGGGTGTTTTGAGTTTGTTTGTTTGCTTATCTGCTAAGGCTGACGGTTTTTCCATCTGTCTCTCTTCTTTTCTGTATGTTTCTGTAAAACATCTCAAGACCAATGAAGGTGAGAAGAAATAGCTGTGAAGGGCTGTGGCTCTGACCCCTTTATGTCTGCTATTCTTACCTGTGGCTCTGGGAAGAAATGCTGTTCTCTTACTCCCATCACATAGCATTTCTTGCTCTGTCATTTGCTTTCAAGGAGTAAGCAAGGTTTTTAAAATGTTTTTTAAAGAACATTTTCAGCAGGGGAAGCACAGAAGTTCTTGATCAGCAGAACTCAAATCTCTTCTCTAAAAAGATGCCAATTTATATTAAACTTTTGTTGAGAAGAAGAATCATTTTGTGATTCAGGCCCCAGGCTGCTGCAATGGGCATGAGGCTCCTTGTGCCTCTGACCATACAGTGCACTTTTGGGGCTCAAGGACACATCAGGACTCTGTGGGAGCTGCTACGTGCCCATTCCTGCAGGAGGGGAATTGTTGCAGCCATCTCACGGCCAGAGCAATAGGGCTGGGGGACCTCTGAAGGCCGGCTCCTTTGCAGGGTGACTTTTCCAGGAGGAGAATGCTTTTTCCTAGACAGCAGCAAAGGCTTTGCACAAAGGCCTTGGAGAGGCGGGCTCCTGGCTGTGTTACTGCCCCTTTTCTGTGGGTGATCCCTCGTGGCACAGCCTGCCCTGCCCTGCCCTCTCTTTTTGCTTTCTTCCCCTCTGACTGACTGCCCCACTGGGAAGTCAAGAAAGCCCAGGGAAATGCCTGCTTAGGGCTCTTCAAATGGTGCTTGGGGATTCAGGCCCTTCCCTGATCATGGATTTATGTATCGTAGAGAGTCAGGGAGCATCAAAATATGAAGAGCAAAATGAGTCAGTACAGCATGGATGGTTTCTTTTGCAAAGCATTTTATTTAATCATTGTTATTCCACAGAACTAGACCCAAGGGGTCTGTCTGCTGTGATCGACCTGGAATCTTCATGCCCAGTTGCAGCAGGAGCAGCTGGGATCAAAGACCAGCCCGGCCTGGCAGCTCTGCTCGTAGGTTTCACCGTTGTTGCAGGTGTAGAACTTGCTCTTGTTGGTCGGATCTGCATAGATGCCGTTGGCCTTGCCAGCACAGAATCCGCTCCCACCAGTGCCACCAGTATTGCCACCCGAGCTCCCGCTGCCGCTGCCACTTCCACTTCCAGTGTTAGGAGCTGAAGTGATGGGAGGATTGGGCTGAGCTGGGGGCACGCAGCCTGAAATAAAAGCAGGACAGGGCTTATCTTTGTGTTGCGGGTCTCTCAGCACTCCCCTTCTGCCACAGTCCCTTTTGGGGTGGTATCAGCAGAACAGCCTTTAACCTTTTTTCCCCCAATTCCCTGGAAATAAAGGCTGCTAAAGACCTGCATCAGCTGTGAGCTAATGGAGACCCCTTCCAGAAGGCCACACTTCTCCAGTTACTCACTGCTGCCTTGCTGACCAAGACCGTTCTTCAGGGTGGTGATCAGGGGATATTTGCCCTGCTTGCAGAATGTGCCAGTGAAGTCATCCATATCAAGAGCCCAAACCATAGCACCTCCAAAGTTGTTCTTCTTCAGCCAGTCAATCTGTATAGCACATGGACAGAAATCCCAATTAGTCCAAGAGCTGCTGTTGCAGAAGGGCTCCTGGAGTGTGATTAGTACAGCCACATCCCCACCGTACCTTGATGTTGAAGCTCTTGATGTTGTCGTAGCCAACCCATTCGTTGCCCTTGTAGGCATAGGGCACGTCCTGGGGGGCATCCCAAGCCTGGGTGGCTCCAGAGTCCAGGAACGTGCAGATCTAGGAAAAAAAAGGCAGAGAATGGTAATTTATCGGGTGTCCTACAAAAAAAGGCAATTGGAATGGATCCACAGGTTAATAATTCCTTGCCAGGTAGTTTGAAGGGTGTTTGTGTTCTGGTCTGCCTAGGTGTGAGGGAACACACATACCTCGTAGTAAGCCAAGAATCCAGCCTGCCTTGTGTACGGTCCAGCAGGCCCAGGTCCTGATGCTGGTGCCCCAACAGCAGTGTCAGATGGGTTCTGCAGGATGAAGTTATGTCCGTAGGTGGGGAATCCAACCAGGAGCTTCTCAGCAGGGGCACCGTTGTTCTTCCAGTAGTTCATAGCGTAATCCTGTAAAAAAAGCATCACAGTTCAAGCCTGTGCCAGGATTTGTAGGTTGGAGGGTCGATTCTTAAAATTCTTATCAGTGATCTGTGGCAAAAAGTCACAAAGAGTACTTACAACGTTGAAGTAGATGAGTTCACCAGTGTCAACAGGGCTTTCGTACAGCGGGCTGTTCTCCCCAGTCTTTCCATCCCAGGAACCGTGGAAGTCATAAGTCATCACATGGAAGTAGTCCAAGTACCTGACAGTTAATGACAGTTTCCCTTAATCGCTGGAAGAGCACTTAAGTCACAGAAGGTGTACCTGGGGGCTTGCTACTCACTTGCCGAGCTCAGCAATCTCGTAGCCAGACTGGATGTTGGAAAGTCCTGCAGCAACAGCAGCCGTGATCATCAGACGGGGCTTGCCAACCTGCTTGGCTTCCTGCTCGAAGGCGGCCAGCATTTCCTGGGGGATGCCAAGGAACAGGGCTCAGCGTGGGCTCTCGGAGCCTCCCAGGGCTCCTCTGGACTGAGCTGTGCAGAGCACAGAGGAGTTTGCTCTTGAGTTTGCTCAAGAGCCTTGAGCAGCTCCTTTGTGTCCCCCTACCTTCACCAGGACGGTGAAGAGACCCTTGTCCTGAGCTGGGCTGCCCCTGGAGCCAGGGTACTCCCAGTCGAGGTCCAGCCCATCAAACTGGTACTGGCGCAGGAATTTGATGACGGAATTGATGAAGGTCTTGCGGTTCTCCGGGGTGGAAACCATTGCAGAGAACCTAGGGAGGAGAGGAGGGCAGGGTTGGGGATGGTCGGGGCCTCTTTCCCCCTCTCCCTCACTTTACAGTTTGCCATTGTGGGATGGAGGTGGTGTGAACTTACTTGGCTGTCCCAAAATTCCATCCTCCGATTGCCAGGAGGGTCTTCAGATTTTCATTCCTGCAAAGATAACGACACAAACACGTTTTGGTACAAAACAACACTGTTGAATTGCTATTTCTGACTCTGCCTCTTCATGTCAGCACCCTTCACCCCACAGGTTGCACTTCCATCACAGAGGGAACATCACGTACTGGTTTTTCAGGCCGTTGAAGGATTTGTAGAGGGTCTCATCGTTCCATTCATAGGTCGTGATCTCATTGTTGGACATCCCAGCGAAGGCGTAGATCAGATGGTCACACAGGCACGGGTCGATGTTGTCTGGCATGTACTTTCCCAGGCCGGGCCTGTACTGGGCCCAGTTGGTGAAGTAGCATGACAGCACATAGGCAGTGCCTGCAGACACAGAGGAGATGGGGCAGGGATTGAGGAGAGCAGAGGGAACGTGTGTGGGCAACGCAGGTGGCCTCCTGTGCCTGCTGGCCAGGTAGCTAGCTGCATGAGGCCGCATTATTCCCTGTAACCATCCCTCAGTGCACACAGTAAAGGCAACAGTTCCTGGGGCTGCTCTTATGTGCAAATTATGACTTAAGTGAAATGTGATCAAAAAAGATTGGGCAATGCTCCCTTGTAGGTTGAGGAGTTGAGGGAAGTAGGACAGGGAAGTGGGCCTGGTTGTTTGTTTGGAAACTGGCTCTCCATGGATTGTAATGCAGTTCTTTCCTTCCTCCTTTGTTCCAGTATGAGCCCTCCTTGGAGCCTCTTGCACCCTGAACCTGATGAACTGGGGTGGTTGTGGCTGCCAAGTCTCCTCCCCAGACTGGATTTTTCCCCTTTAATGCCAGTAAGGCACAGCAGAAGCAGAAGTGGATTCTGGTGAAGTACCCGGAGGGAGGAAGCCTCGTTGGGTGCCTGCTGCTGCCTGCTCAACCTGCGTCTGAAAACTTCTGCCCAGCCCAAGCTGGTGGCTGTGCCCGTGCTTCATTCAACCTGAGCAGGATGGGGCTGCTAAGGGGAAAACTGCATGAAATCAAGCAGCATATTTGCCCTTTAGGCTGAGTGTCCCATGCTTCATAAAGCTTTTGTCCTCAAAGACACCCTCACTGTGTGCTGCCAGCTTCTGCTTCCTCCCCCCCTCTTGTAGAAGAGTTAGCTGGTGAGCCTGCTCCTGGGACACGCACATGCTGATGGTGCAAAGGGGTTTGGGGAGGTTTTTTTTGGGGTAGGGAGCACATACCTATCTGGGCGTTCAGCAGGAGGGCCAGACCTTTGAAGAAAGAAGTGTGGGATTAGTCTTTGAGAAGCAAGGTAATGCCTCACTAGCAGAAATACTTTGGTAGATAGATAAACAGCAATGCAGACATTAAAACTACTTCTAACTCTAGACATTTTTTGTTTCTCTTCATAAGGATCTTTGTGAGCCCAACATTTCCTCTGCCACAGGTCAAAATTCATTCTGAGGGAAGCGAACACGCTGAAAAGCTTATGGTCATTAATGGCTCACTATGCTGCTGCTTTGATCAGTTGTGATTAGGCAACAGGTGATTTAAGGAGTTGTGGTGCCCCTGAGCATGGCTGAAACAGCAGAAACCAACAGGCATACACAGACAGTAATAGCTTATCTCTTAGCATGACAGAAGACGACAGCAGGACTGCCTTTTTTTTTTTTTGGCCCAATACCATGTTTTGATTAAATAAAGCAATTAAATTAAAAAAATGTATATCTAAGAAAGGAGAAGATATCAAGTTGAAAGTCACAAAGCATTTAAAAATCCCCAAAATATGGTATTGATTTTTCTTTGAGAAAAAAAAAAAAGAGAATGCAACATCTTTAACTCTAAAGGACCCCTTTTCTAACCCCCACTATAACAGCAAGAGCCACGAATACTTGTCACAAAGGTAAAGAAGTAAGCTGGGAAGCAGGACTTACCGGTAAGCAGAGTGAGCTTGGCCATCTTGGACCAGAACTGATCCAGGGCAGGCTGCTTCCCACTTTTATACACTTCTCTAATTTCGTATGAGTCTTCTGTCAACAATGATGCCCAACCATTACACAAGCTGATAAAGTTAAAAAAGTATCACAGAAAATGATAGCAATACAATGGCCTTAACACTCCAGCAGAAAATATCAAGATTATCAGGCTGTACCGTTGTGTGGTGCTGCCAGAGGAGTTGAAGAACAAGATTAGATGGCTTTTCTTCTTCGAAATCGTGTTTGCAACAAGAGGCTTTGAGTCAATATTGGCGACTAGGCAGGAATAGATGTCTGAAGTGTTCAACCTTGCGTTGTCATTGTGTCTGCGTGGAGGCAGCAGGCGGTGCCAAACCAAAGGTGTTTTGCAAGGGTTTTGTCTCCTTGGCTGGGGCACTCAGCGAGGTGGGGCTGAGCAGGGCTTGGGCTCACAGCCGTGGGCTTTTTGGGGGCACAGGGATGGGGCTCACTTGGTGTAGCAAGCTATCAGTCGGATGCAGCAGGCCTTGTGGTCTGTGTTGTCTCTTGGCCACACCACTTAAGCTTGCTGTCAGTGCAGGGAAGTGGGGTGGGCTTCGTGGTGTCCCAGCAGTAAGGCAAACCAAGTCAGCCTCTGCTGAGCACTTCTCCCACTTGCTGCTGGACCTGTTGGTGTGGGCAGGGGAGCAAGGGCAGGTGAGAAGCCTTGCCTTGGCTTTCTGTGGAGCTCCTTGAGGTGAAATTGCCAGAATCTCTTACATTCTGCATGAGCTTGTCAGCAGTCATTGGCTGTTTTCTCTGCCCCGAGACATTACATAATTCCCGTTAAGATGATGTGAAGGTGAATTTCCAGGCAGTCATCCAGACTTGGTTGAACACGAGTCTTGAAAACACCCACAGGCTTGTCCTTATCACATGCTGGTGCTGAAGCCACTGACCTGCAGATTAACATGCATTAGAGCAACCCGCCAGTTTTTTTTCTTGCACTGGATGAGATATGGTGGATAATTAAAAAAACGATGATCCTCAAGGATTATTTTTCCAGTGTGTTTCTGAGCTGATAAGGTAGCACAGTACAAACTCAATAGAAATGGATTTGTAATATTGCACCCTCCGTGACCTTTGGAGCCTTGCAGGTGAAGGTCTCTTATCTGCAGAAGTGTGTTCCAGTGTGAAGAGGTAAGCACCTGCCGGTGGATCAAAGAAGGTAATTTGTCTGCATATGGTGGTAACAAACATCAGGTGGGCAAATCCTGGAATTTTCTTTAGGAACTTTTCTGCCTTTTCTCCGCCTTAAGAAATGTAACATGCCAGTGGTTCCTGGTAGCAGGCCTTGAGGAAGGGCAGAATTGGTCCCTGCCAGAGGCACTTTGCAGTCACAGTAAAAGTGTAGAGCATTCAGACAGAGATTTTGCATATTATTCCTGTAGCTGAAGTGTTGGGTTCCAGAAAGATCCAGAAATCTGGATTGTTTCTGCTTTAGTTTCAGTTCATACACTAATGACAATTGTCATTATGGTCATTCTGTGACCATGCTAGGATTAAGTCTGTCTGCCCTTCAACTGTCTGGACTCTTTTCTGTTGAATGATGGAAAAGAGAAGGATTTTCATGCTTTCTCCACCTGAACGATGTCCAGGTGTCTCCATCCAGCTCTTCAGCTCCAGGTTCTTTACTCTTTCTTCCCTTTTCAGGCCCAGAGGTTTGCAGGGTTGGGCAAGGCACTTGCAGTCTTGCATCCATCTGCTGTGAGATGCATCTGATAAATGACTCAACAAACACTGTAGTAGCTGCTGTATTCTGGGAAGATTTTATCCATCCTGGCATTGCCAACCTCAGTGCACATGAGGCACTGCCTTGGAGATGTTGTTTTGTTCCACCTGCCCTTGCCAGGGAGATTAGGCAGGTCAGGCTTAAGTGGGGAGAGAAAAGTAAAGGTCAGTGGAATGGCACCGTGGATTTAGATAAATACGCCCTGTCCTAACCCTTATCTGGACACAGAGGTGTGGGTATCAACCCCCTGATATGGGGAGGTTGGAGCTGACAGCCCATACTGGTGTTTGTGCCCATGGAAATGTTTTGCTGGGCACATGTGGTGTCAGCAGGGGATGGCCTGCGTGGCTTTCCATGCAAAGTGTGGCTGCTTTAGGGCACCTTTGCTAGGCAAAGATGCTGTTGAGCTAGTAAAAATGCATTCTGGACTTATTTTTTGGAAGTGGGAGGCTACATGATATTGCCAATGAAGACTTGGGCAGAGTTCTGCCTGCTTTCAGCTGCTGCTCTGAATTTCCTCCCTGCAGGCAGACAGCTCAGTTTTTCAGCTGGTTTTCCAGCTCTCCCTCTGCTTCTCAGAGTCTGCTTTTAAAAAATACCTCATGACCAGTGAAGGTGAGGGCGAAAAGCTGGTGTAGCCGATGTGCACAGGGCATGGAAGGGTTTTGAGGTACTTTTCTGCATGTCTGCACATCGGAGGGAGCTGTAATGAAAGCCAAACGTGACAAAGTGCAGCGGGGGCTGATGTACCCTCGGGCAGAAGGTCCCACAGGGCTGCTGCAGCGTTTCAGTTCTGCTTCTCACGGGGAGCTGAAGTGATGTGGGCTGCTAAGTGCCATGCACGAGTGAACTGCAACCCTGGCACATGTGAACGAGAGGGGTCTGTGGTGTGAACAGCCTATGAAAGCTTGCAGGGCTCTGGCTCTGCTATTTTGAAGCATGTTCTCCTGACCAGTGACCCAGTATGAAACAGCAGGCTGTTCTTGCTTCTGTTGCATAGCCTTTTTTGCTCTTTGGTTTGTTTTCAGGAGTATCTGAGGCTCCTTCCCTGCATCTAAGAGCAGAAACATCTTACTGACATTTTAAAGACACTATTTGCATCATGGAAGTTCCTCAGCAACAGAAGAGGTTTGCTTTGAGGCATGAAGCTCCTTGTGCCTCTGACCATACAGTGCACTTTCGGGGCTCAAGGACACATCAGGGCTCTGTGGGAGCTGCTACGTGCCCATTCCTGCAGGAGGGGAATTGTTGCAGCTGTCTCATGGCCAGAGCAATAGGGCTGGGGGACCTCTGAAGGCCGGCTCCTTTGCAGGGTGACTTTTCCAGGAGAAAGCTTTTTTTACTCCCTCGTGGCACAGCCTGCCCTGCCCTGCCCTCTCTTTTTGCTTTCTTCCCCTCTGACTGACTGCCCCACTGGGAAGTCAAGAAAGCCCGGGGAAATGCCTGCCTAGGGCTCTTCAAATGGTGCTTGGGGATTCAGGCCCTTCCCTGATCATGGATTTATGTATTGGGAGAGAGTCAGAAAGCATCAAAATATGAAGAGCAAAATGAGTCAGTACAGCATGGATTGTTGTTTTCGCAGAATTCTTTATTTAATCATTGTTATTCCACAGAATTAGATCAGAGGGGTCTGTCTGCTGTGCTCGACCTGGAGTCTCCATGCCCAGTTGCAGCAGGAACAGATGGTACAAGGTCACAAGGTCTGCCCAGAAATTTTGCAAATAACTTTTTTGGTGTTCAAACACTGGTACAAGCTGCTCTTCTTGGGTAAGTCTGGATGCCTTTACTGGCAGAAAAGCCACTCACACCATAGCCACTGGAATTGCTACTGCAGCTCATACTCACACACCCATTTCAACTTCTATTGTTAGGAGCTGCAGGGATTGAGGACTGGACTTTTAATAAGCTGTACAGCCTGAAATGAAAGCAAGAAGGAGGTTTCCTTTTCGAATGCACTATATTTCTATTGGTATTCTCTCCCTTCCCTCCTTTCATTGTCCCACAGTGCTCTGAGCACACCAGCTTTTTGTTGCTTAAAAAATTTCCACAAACCCCACAGTACCCAAGTTACTCACTGCTGCTTTGCAGGCCAAGAGCGTTCTTCAGGGTGGTGATCAGGGGATATTTGCCCTGCTTGCAGAAAGAGCCAGTGAAGTCATCCAGATCAATGGTCCAAACCATAGCACCTGCATAGTTGTTCTTCTTCAGCCAGTCAGCCTGTGTAGTGCCGGGGGAGAAATCCCAATTAGTCCAAGAGCTGCTGTTGCAGAAGGGCTCCTGGAGTGTGATTAGTACAGCCACATCCCCACCGTACCTTGATGTTGAAGCTCTTGATGTTGTCGTAGCCAACCCATTCGTTGCCCTTGTAGGCATAGGGCACGTCCTGGGGGGCATCCCAAGCCTGGGTGGCTCCAGAGTCCAGGAACGTGCAGATCTAGGAAAAAAAAGGCAGAGAATGGTAATTTATCGGGTGTCCTACAAAAAAAGGCAATTGGAATGGATCCACAGGTTAATAATTCCTTGCCAGGTAGTTTGAAGGGTGTTTGTGTTCTGGTCTGCCTAGGTGTGAGGGAACACGCATACCTCATAGTAAGCCAGCAGCCCAGCCTCCTTTGTGTAAGGTCCAGCAGGCCCAGGTCCCGATGTTGGTGCCCCAAGAGCTGTGTTAGATGGGTTCTGCAGGATGAAGTTATGTCCGTAGGTGGGGAATCCAACAAGGAGCTTCTCAGCAGGGGCACCATTGCTCTTCCAGTAGTTCATAGCGTAATCCTATAAAAAAAGCATCACAGTTCAAGCCTGTGCCAGGCTTTGTAGGCAGGACGGTGAGTTCTTAAAGTTCTCATCAGTGGTTGTGATCATAGCGATCTGTGGGACACACTCCCAAACTGTACTTACAACACTGAGGTAGGCATTGCCATCACTGTACAGCGGGCTGTTCTCCCCAGTCTTTCCATCCCAGGAGCTATAGAAGTCGTAAGTCATCACATGGAAGTAGTCCAGGTACCTGTGGAGTCCATTGCATGTGTCTGTGCCCTGGCCAGTTCACTCACCCAGACCTGGATGTTCTTTTTGTCCTGGTCACCGATCCCCCAACATCCCTGGCTGTGCCCCCACTATCTGCAGATCAGCATTTCTCCAAGGCCTCTTTGGGACAAGCCTTCTAGAGGTAGGGACGAGTCTCTCCACATAAAGCATGGGGGCTCTGCAGGCAATGGGGTTGGTTTCTGCCAGCTAATGTCAGAGCGCCCCATAACTGCTGGAAGGGAGAGCACTGGAAGGAATGGCCTGAAGGAGGTCGCAGAAGGTGGACCTGGGGGCTTGCTACTCACTTGCCGAGCTCAGCGATCTCGTAGCCAGACTGGATGTTGGAAAGTCCTGCAGCAACAGCAGCCGTGATCATCAGACGGGGCTTGTTAACCTGCCTGGCTTCCTGCTCAAAGGCGGCCAGCATTTCCTGGGGGATGCCAAGGAACAGGGCTGAGCATGGGCTCTCGGAGCCCCCCAGGGCTCCTCTGGACTGAGCTGTGCAGAGCACAGAGGAGTTTGCTCAAGAGCCTTGAGCTGCCCCTTTGTGTCCCCCTACCTTCACCAGGACAGTGAAGAGACCCTTGTCCTGAGCCGGGCTGCCCCTGGAGCCAGGGTACTCCCAGTCAAGGTCCAGCCCATCAAACTGGTACTGGCGCAGGAATTTGATGACGGAATTGATGAAGGTCTGGCGGTTCTCCGGAGTGGAAACCATTGTGGAGAACCTAGGGAGCAGAGGAGGGCAGGGTTGGGGCATGGTCAGGGCCTCTTTCTGCCTTCACTTTCCAGTTTGCCTTTGTAGGATAGAGGTGGTGTGAACTTACTTGGCTGTCCCAAAATTCCATCCTCCGATTGCCAGGAGGGTCTTCAGATTTCCATTCCTGCAAAGATAAGGACACAAACATGTTTTGGTACAAAACAACCCTGTTGAATTGCTGCTTCTGACTCTCTGCCTCTTCTTGGCACCCCTTGCCCCACAGGTTGCACTGCTATAGTCCAGGGAACGTCACGTACTGGTTTTTCAGGCCGTTGAAGGATCTGTAGAGGGTCTCATCATTCCATTCAATGGTCGTGATCTCGTTGTTGGACATCCCAGCGAAGGCGTAGATCAGATGGTCACACAGGCATGGGTCAATGTTGTCAACCGTGAAGCGCCCCGGGCTGGGCCTGTACTGGGCCCAGTTGGTGAAGTAGCACGACAGCACATAGGCAGTGCCTGCAGAGACACAGAGGAGATGGGGCAGGTCTGGGCTGCACTGCAGAAAAACTAGGAACTTAAAACAGATTATTGTAACCAGATCTCGTCAGAAATGGTTGGGCAATGCTTCCTTGCCAGGGTGAGGAGTCTGGAGAAAGTGAGGTAGGGTTGGTTATCATTCTGGGAACTGTGTCCTTAATAATAATATTTTTTTTCTTCCTCACTTGTACCCTGAAAATCATGAATTGGGGTGGTTATAGCCACTGACTCTCTTCCCAAACTGTGTCTTTCTTCTTTGCTGCCAGGTAAGGAAGAGCAGAAGCAGAAGGGATGCTGCCAGAAGGAAGAAAGCTGTTGGCGTTTCTGTTGTGCTTTCTGCTTGACCTGCCTGTGTATGCCATGCTTAAATGAATTTGGTGAGTTGTTTTGGGAAAAAAAGCACATACCTATCTGGGCGTTCAACAGCAGGGCCAGACCTTTGAGGAAGAGAAGAAAGAAAAAAAGTGATTAGTGTTTGTTTTCAGAAATACAAAGCTCTTCAGCAGGACTGGACTGTCCTGCAGGTTGCTGCTATGTCTTTTCCTTTGAAAGGAGAGTAAAGAGACTGGAATTCCAAAGAACTTCTTTTCTAACCCCCAGTACACTGAGAGAGCCACAAATACTTGTCACGAAGGTAAAGAAGTGAGCTGGGAAGCAGGACTTACCGGTAAGCAGAGTGAGCTTGGCCATCTTGGACCAGAACTGGGGCAGGCTGCTTCCCTCTTTTATACCCTTCTCTAATTTCGTACAAGTCTTGTGTCAACAAAAATGCCCAACCATTACACAAGCTGATAAAAGTATCACAAAAATGATAGCAATACCTTAAGGCTCCATCAGGAGCCACATGGATTATCAGGCTGTGCCATTTTGTGGTGCTGCCAGAGTAGTTGAAGAACAAGATTAGATGGCTTTTCTTCTTCGAAATCGTGTTTGCAACGAGAGGCTTTGAGTCAATATTGGCGACTAGGCAGGAATAGATGTCTGAAGTGTTCAACCTTGCGTTGTCATTGGCGGCAGGCAGTACCAAACCAAAGGGTTTGCAAGGGTTTTGTCTCCTTGGCTGGGGCACTCAACGAGGCAGGTGGAGGGGGGCTTGGGCTCACAGCCGTGGGCTTTTTGGGGGCACAGGGATGGGGCTCACTTGGCGGAGCAAGGTGTTGGTTGGGATGCCGGGGGCTTGTGGTCTGTGTTGTCTCTTGCCCACACCACTTAAACTTGCTGTCAGTGCAGGGAAGTGGGGTGGGCTTCGTGGTGTCCCAGCAGTAAGGCAAACCAAGTCAGCCTCTGCTGAGCACTTCTCCCACTTGCTGCTGGGCCCGTTGGTGTGGGCAGGGAGCAAGGGAAGGCATGAAGAGTGCTTTAACAAAGTGCCTCCACATTTCGTGTACTGCTGGCCTGAAAGAGAATGTTTAGCAGTGTGATGGGTAACATGGCAGTGTCTTGCCAAGATGATTTTCTCCAGGGCAAAGAGCTATTTCTTGGAGGTCAAGCACTAGGAGAGACAGCCCAGGGACAGAACATTTTTCAGGGCATATTAACACAACTTCAATGTATCATAGAGGACTTCAGATTAGCATAGAAGCAAGTATAGGCATTGCTAACTTCTGTGTTCAGACTGTTTCTCTTGAACTCTGGTTAGGTTCCTAGCAGTGGAGTATTTTCTCTCTCATCTCTTTTTATAGTTTTTAATATGAATAATAGGAAGCTTTTCAGAATCGCAAATAACCACTTGAAGCTAGTTTGCTGAAAGTGTCTGATGAAGAAAAGGCCAATGTGAGGAGGGAAGACAGAGCTTAGCTCTTTCAGCCTGCTTGCCATTTTTTTCCTGCATTTCTTAGGAAAGTCGTTTAATCCTATTCATAAATTCTCTTTAATGGGCTGGAAACAAAAAAAAGGTAGTGTATGAAGGAAATAGTGATGATTAGATTTTAGTGTGAAGCACTTTGAGGGTGTTAGAAATGATCTGCTGCTATGGTAAATATAATAAATGTTTTCTTTGAAACCTGTGCTCTCTACTTGGCTGGTTAGTACCTTCTGATATGCTCCACAAGGTCTGTATGGGAACCTCATTTCCTTATGAACTAGAAGCTTTGACTCTCCTGAGAAATCATCCCACTCTCCCACTTAGCATATCGCACACTCTTCTCTGATAACAGCAGCGTTACTTATCAGCTCTTTCATTTTTATCAGCTAGCTTCATGAAAAGCTCTCACCGCCAAAGGATCACCTAATTCCATGAACTAAACAAAGGAAGAAATTGAGCTAAAGGAAGAGGTTTCCCTTCATATGCAGATGCTCAGTTTGCAATTAAGTGCACCTTGAAAGCACTGCAGGAGCAATAAAAGCATAAAAGCAAACTAAAAGTATCATCATGTAGTTTTAACTAAGGAGAGCATCTTCTCCTGGAAGAAATCGTAGACAAGAATCTTAAGTCAATGGTTTGGTACTATCAGCAATTAAAATATCCGACAGTAGGTGTCGATGTTGCTCGCTTTTGCCAGTCAAGTAGATGGAGTGCTTTTCTAGCAGTCTTCTGATAACATTTCAAGAAGAAATGTGCTTGCGGCCAAAAGGTTACTTGCTGCTCCTCTTTGTTTCATCACGGATAGAGATCTGAAATCAACAATAGAAGTCTGAGATCAACATAAAATTGGAGTGCTTCCTTCTCTGTATAGAAAAGTAACAAGGATAAAGGCAAGTTTTTGTTCAGTTCACTTCTCCAGAACTGTATAACCCACATAAGACATGAGTGTCTTTTGTGAAAGAGTGAAATATGGACTATTAAACACACCTATCCAAAAACTAGCCTAAGCTTGAGATGTGTCAGGATGCCTTTTAAGACATCAGTCATTGTGTTGATATGTCCAGTAATCGTGTCCCCATGGCCTCAGCAGGGTACTGATAAATCTATATTTTTGGCTATCTCACCTGTTTAAATCACCTACTTATATCTCTAACAAATAATTTAGGCTCATTTTCTGTCTCTTTTGCCTTTTCTCACCAACACAGTAAATATTTACTGTGGGGGAAACTGGGCCTGACCGGTCAGATTAAAGACTGAAATTCTGTTCCCTGATTCCATGTGATGTGTGTGCAGTCTTTACAACACGTCCAGATTTATTCAAGTGGCTTTGGGTAGAAACCGGTCTAAATGGCGTGTGGCCTTGGCACATGTCCCTTATTAACTGCTACAATAAGAAGATTTCAAACCATCTTTGATGTGTTTTATGGTTCCCAAGCCTTTCCTTTCTATTGGACACTTTTTTTTTTTCTTTGCTGTGGAGCAACCCCTGGTTTTCACACTGGCAAAACATGAGACAAAGCTGTCGCACTGGATATTCACTTCGGTGATAAATATTACATCCTGACAGCATTCAGCAGGTTCTCCTAACAACCGCCTGGTTTTGCTCAAAGCTCTATAGACTTGATAAGCATTGCTATCATGAAGATCAGAGCAATCTTATCTACTTCTTCCTGGCAGACTACATCTTAAGTACAGCCATCTCCTTCCTGACCCAGTAAGCAGCTTCAGACTCCTGCCTGATGCTTGATCCATTTGGTGTTCGGCTCTGCTTCGGGGCCTGTAAGGAGGATGTGCTTCCTGATGCCAGCACATGTCAATGGCCTAAACCGTGGCCCTGCCTAAACTGCACTGTGTCAGATACAACCCTCTGGGAGCGGCAAAAAGAAGCAGAATAAATCAACATCAACAACCTTATGTGCATAATGTCTGCGGTAAGACGTAACCCTTTGTTTTCATTTTGTTAAAAGGGAAGAGAGGCTTTGTGCCATGATCAGGACAGCTTTACCCAATGCAGGTTTTATTTCTTACAGGGTCTTAGCTTTTACCTCGCCATCATGGCAAGAGGCTCTGTACCTCCTGCTTGATTTGGCTTAAAGTCTCAGGGAGGGGAATGTCAGTGAATCACCGACTACAGCTTTGAGTTGGGTTGCTTCCAATGCCCAGTCCAGGAGGAGTTAGGAGATTCCTGTTCTCCTTCTCTTCCTTTGGTTTCTGCTTTAGATGGAGGAATGGTGGAGTTTCTTCCTTGCAAAAGCTGGGTGAAAAGTATCAGGAGCCTGATCATCTTGGACCCTAGTGGAATGACTGGGAACAATCTTACCTCAAATTCTGCACATCCTGAGGTTGGCATAGTGCTGGAGGTAGGGGAAAAGACAAACTCTGCATGCTGAAACACAAATCGAGGTGCATGGACAGTGTTTAAAGAGACCTGTCTGTCTTCTCTCAACAGCTTTAGTGATACTTCGTGTCTCTCAATGGCTTAACAGCTTTTTATAGCCCAGCTCTTCTTGCAGGGCACTGACCTCCTTAGAAAAACTATCCCCCTCTCTTCAGGAGTCTGACAGAGAAATAAGAAAATACAGCCACAATATCAATGACCAACCGTGTGAAATCTGGCCCCACGTTCAGATAAGTATATGTACACTTGCTTAAGTAACTGCCGCTATAATCCCATGCCTGTAAACGGAGTCACGGAAAAGGATCTCTCCTACCTCCAAGTCACGTAACCCTTGGATGTGTCCTTCACTGTGCAGCCCAGTGAGCTGCTGGTGGCTGGTGCACTGAGATCGCTGGAGCGCCTGTGGCTCTGGAATCTGCTGTTTTGAAAGTGATTTGGGAGCTGCCTTGGTCCAAACCTCTTTCTGTTCTTCTCACGAGATTATTTGGTGTAGCTGAAGGACTGATGTTGCTGGTGCCATAGGAATTATTCCGTGGGAAGCCCAGAATGAAGAGCCAGCAACGCTACCTGCAGTGTGACGTGGTCTGTCCAGGAGCACAGGATGCACAAGAAATGTCTGACAGCTGTTCTTCTTCAGATTCACGGCAAGAAATTAGGAGCTTTTATTTCTGAAGATCTTTAGATCCTCAAATTCTCCTCCAAAAGATAATCACAGCATGTAGGCCTTGGGCAGAGACTTTGCACAGACTGGATTTCGGGGCATTTTGCTTATATAGGGCAGCCAGGAGAGTGTCAGAGCTCTTTGATACTTAAGACACCAGTTCATTTGTTTAAAGATCTCTGTTTTTAAGCCTGGTTTCCCCAGTACTAACTCCCTGATACGAGGGCTGAGTCTGTTCTGTTTCATGCCATCTTTCTCTGGCGTTTGATTTCCCTTCTCTCTTCAGCTCATTGACTGGAACTAAAGAACTGCTGATTTTCAGATACCAACCATTCCCTGCCTCCCGGGGGAAATTCTTGCCTTCTGCATGTACGTTCCCAGAAATACACCTCTGACTCAGTCTGATTACGAAATGCTGCAGCCATTTCCCCAGCTACTTCTACAGAGTGTCATCATTTATTCACATTCAGTCCCCACGTAAATTTTATTAGGACCTTGAGAGGTCCTTTTCATGAGGAATTTGGTGCAGTATTGCAATCGCGCACAGCATATTCTTTCCTTACAGCACATCTTTCATCTTTCCTGATTCTCTGTTGGCACTAAACTGCTATAATTAGGCGCTGTAAACAAATCCTCAGCTTCTCTGATGTTGTGAAACACTCAAACTTGATTTCTGACTATCCTGTTCCTCAAATAAACCTTGGCTCTCTACTAAAGGCATCTCACTAACGTTCTCGGGTGATCAGGATTGAGGCAAGGAGTTA